AACAACTTTCTCTGCACAACTTTTACTTTTAAACTGCTTCTATCAAGCTGCTCTCCACGTACTAAACTGCTAAAACTTAGAAAGCCGATAGATTGTCAACAAGTGGCTGATAATCCAAAGTGTTCATATGATAAAAATAGACTTTCAGTGGTTACTTATCAATGTTAAAGAATTTAAATGTTAGCATTCCTCATATTACCCAAAACATTGCACGCTAAAGTTTTAAACAAAGATCTGTAAGCCTTGAGATTATGTTGTGACTCTCAGCTACAACCACAACAAATTTGACCTTAATTTTTGTAAAATTGACCAAGTTATAGCCATTATCGTGTTTGCTAAAGTCAACTAGCTACAGCGGCCATCTTGATTCTAGATGACTCCAAAAGCTAATTTGCTGTAGATTAGTGATTCCTCTCTCAAGAGTTTAAATAAAAGCTGTCCCGTGGTTGGTAAGATGTTTTGCTAACAGGCAGACAAACAAGAACACACACGCAGACAAACAGATATTTACTGTGCAGTGCTGTCGTTATTAAATTCTTATAGAATTATTGATTTTCTAACTGTGCTGAAAAAGTCTCAGTTCTCCATCTGGGCACAGAACATTGAGTTCACTCCTCGTGTCACAGAAGTGGTTTATTATTTTACTTCCTTAAAACTGTCTCAATTTTAAAGGACTGTCGATGTGGTCAGCACAAGCGAAAACTTAAATGAAAAGGTTATCCCCCACCTACTTTCAGTTTAGAGTGAGATCATCTTAATGTTGAGAAATGAGTTTTGGGATCTCATTTAAAGGATCCCCGATTAGTTGTAACATTAGACTTTATTTGATAAACATTTATTTTAACTGTAAAATAAAGACTGTAAAAATACTGTAGGCTGTTTAGTTTTGTAAATTTTTGAAAATATATTTTAACATGGATGGAGCCATTTTATTTACACGCAAAGCATTCTGGGTAAATGATGACGTGGATAGGTCATCGGTGCGAGGCTGCTAGCGAGCTATATCCACCCTGAAGGTTAATCTTGGACAATATCTGATGATCGACTCTTTTAAATGAAACCAGAGAGCGTTGACAGAGAGGAGAAGGTAGAAATGACTCAGCCTGGAACTGAAAATATGGATGAGGACAACAGAGCTGCTTCATGGAAGAAGAACCTCAGCTTAGTCTGTTAGCCTTTGCGCTAGTGCCAACGCTATGTTGCCTTATACGTATTAGCTCGGTGCTAGCATGACAAACAAGCTAAACTGAGGTCCTCCATCCATATTTTCAATTACAGCTGAGTCATTTATGTGTTCCCCTCTCTGTCATGTGGATGGAGGACCTCAGTGATGAGAGGAGAATGTGTAGCGCTGAGCTAATACATATATATGGTGATAACATCAGAGCTAATGCTAAAGCTAACAGACTAAGCAGAGGTTCTTCTTCCATGAAGCAGCTCTGTTGTCCTCCATCCATATTTTCAGTTCCAGGCTGAGTCATTTCTACCTTCTCCTCTCTGTCAACGCTCTCTGGTTCCATTTAAAAGAGTCGATCATCAGATATTGTCCAAGATTAACCTTCAGGGTGGATATAGCTCACTAGCAGCCTCACACCGATGACCTATCCACGTCATCATTTACCCAGAATGCTTTGCATATAAATAAAATGGCCCCGTTCGTGTAATATATTTTTAACCTTTATTTTAAAAATTATAAAAACTAAACAGTCTTCAGTATTTTAAGTCTTTATTTTACAGTTAAAGTAAATGTTTATTAAATAAAGTCTAATATTACAACTAATCAGGGATCCCTTTAATATTTCAAGACCTCTCCCTCAGACAATGTAATGTGAATGACTTTCAGCTACTACCACATCAAATGTCTGTGCAACTGACTGAGTTATAGTCATTTATACTATAATATATGTACTGTAGTTTTGTAAATTGTGTGTAATTCAGAGTGCAGATAGATGATTGTGTAAAAAAAATGTGTAAATGGGCGTTCCACCACAGTGCATCTTGGGAAATGCTGCATTTAGATCTCATATTTGAGAGTACGTAAATCAAAGTGGCAGATATGAGTCGCTCCAGGATGAGACGTCTGCTCATCGTGCCAGGCAGCAGCTTTTCATGTGCCGTTTTTTACTCATCTCCTGAAATGAGCAGTGGAAGGGTGGGGTGGGAGGACCGCCACGAAACTCAAAGGGCCTCAGGGAAACCGTTCTGCTGGGGGTGGGGGTGGGGGCATTTTTTTCTCCTAATCTACTGAAGAAAGGTTCTAAACTTATCTAAAGATAAAAACATTGAAATAATATTAATTATATTAAATAAAAAAAATTGGAGCCAATCTATTTTCCTTTAAATTTATTGCCCACTGCCAAATTGTGTGTAGTGTCTGTTAGCAAAATATCTCACAAACCACTGAATGGATTTTAATGAAATTCTCAGAAAATATTCAGTGGATATATGTTTACAACTGATTACCTTTTGGAGTCAGTCGAATTCAAGTTGGCTGCCAAGAGTTAGCAGACTTAGAAAATACATTAATAACTACAACTCTTTCGAATTCTTAATGACTGAGATACAGTTTGGTGTGTTGGTAGCTGAGAGTCATCCACAACTTATACTTCAAGAGCTAACTATATAGTGCTTATCAGTTTTTAAAACTTTGCCTCTAACGTTTGGAGTCAACTCTGTGGTTAAGGAAAATATCCCCTGAACTATTGGATAGATTTAAATAAATTAATCTATCATTGGATGTACATCTACAGCTGATTAACATTTGAAATCAGTTTTGTTTAAGATGGTGATAGCAGCTAATCTACCCAAGTAAACACAATTAAACTGTCAGCTTTTCACATGGTAATACCTGGGAGTGATGCGATTCATTCAGACCAACTTTTTGAGAATAATAGACTAAAATAGGGAAACGTTCAGAAGATGTGACTCTCAACAGATAAATGAAACATGTCAAGGGGTCCTGATGACATGATTTTATTTGAACAGGTCAGATTTAGCTGCAGAGTAAAAGCGTTTGTTTGAAATGTTACAGGACCCTGACAGAAAGAGTTTTTAACTCATCTATTTTTAACCTGAAGGGGAACTCACAGTTGGGTCTGAAGCACATAAAGAACAAGTTTAATCTAGTCTCTCATTTACTTCCAGTCAGTCTGCCAGATGACTAAATTATAAACCAGAGCAACTTGTTTGCACGTTGTTTCAGCTGAAAGTTATACACCACAGCTACGACTGAATGTAAAGACTGACACGTTTTGGGAATGAAGTACAGAACTAAGACAGGAAGGTGATATTTTACCTGCTGCAGAACCTGCGGTTAGTATGTTTTTAGTGATGCAGGTTGGAAGAAAACGTGTCTGGACAGCTTGAGGCATGACGTCTTTAACGAAAGAGTCATAAAACGTAAGTAGGAGGTTCAATAAGGTCGTTATTTCCTCACTAAAGCTGAATAAATTGTCATATTTCATGGTGAAAATGTAAAAAGTAATTTACTTAAAATTTGAATGAATTCACAGACTTGATCAGGCGAGCAGTCAACCATAAATCCTGATACATCAATTTCTTTTTAAAGATTTTTGCTCCAATAAAAATCTCTAATAGAAGACTTAACATTCTTTGAGTTTTAAACTGAAATCATCGTGTGAATAAAGTTTTAGCCGTTTAACATGACTTTATGAATTCATGCGATACCTTGGTAGATGTACGTTTTCGTTCTCAGAGTATGTGTTGAAGATGACTCTCAGCTACCACCACACTAAACTTTAGGTCCATATCTGTAAAACTGAGTTACGGCATTTTGTGTTTGCTTACACTGATTAGTTGCAAGGTATTTTTAAATTAGGTTAATTGATTTGGTAAATAGACACAGTAGATTGATTCAGACTGATGTACACAGGTGTGAGTGTGAATGGTTTTCTGAATCTAAAAAGAGCTTCACTGAGTGAGAAGTAGTGTCAGCAGACAGTTTAAGTTTCACTTTCAGTTTCACCCGTTGTTTGCTTTGTTACTGCCGAGAGCCTGCAGGAGTCATGGGTGGGGTGTGTGGGGAGGGGGCGCTCTGCCATGAGGAAGTTCGGGTTAAAGACACGTCCCAGGGGCGTTTCTGGTCCCAAAAGGCGTTCCTGGTCCCCACCTGTCGTTTTGCTCCTCAGCATGGCTTCCTAAAAAYGCTGCAGGATTTCTCAAACATGCATGAATGAGTCAAAGCAAGGCTTTGGGCATGTTTTTTTCATGAGAGTATAACATTATAACATGATATAAAACTCAAAAAAGTTGATTTTACGTGATATTGCCCCTTTAAACAAGTTTATCTACACAACAGTCGCTAGCTACAACAACAAGCTAACATTAGCTACCATTAGCTTACCGTCATCCTGCCCTCTCGTCAGTAGCGTCATACTGCTGGATGGTACAGAATAGCTTTTGGTACTTTTCTGTTGAGTTTGATGTAGTCCATTGTTGCATCGCAAATAAAACAAAATGTGTTTTTAGTGTTTAATAATATGATCTTGTTCACATCTTGGTGAAACTCTGCTCAGTGCAAACACAACCAGGGCCGTGGTAGAATAAGGCCAGGGTGACTGGAACCATCACTGTAAAAACTCCATGTGTGACCCCCTCAGTGGACAGCTGGTCCCTCCTCTCACCTGATGACTGCTGGATCGGGCACCAGATCCCTGTGACCCTGAACAGGGACGAGCGGGTAAAGAAAACGGACGGATGATTATGGTTTTGTTCAATTTATGCAAAAGTTCTAATGCAGTTTCTTCAAATAGTCCAAAGTTTCTTTCATTCCATAGAATGTTCTGTATTATATAAGAAAAAAAGAGGTTTATGATCCAAAAGCAGCAAAAACAGCTCAGCAGGAACAATGGCTGCTGTGTGTTTGTAGGAATAATCCACAGAGCAGGTTTCAGTAATCAGATTAATATCAGCGTCATTTCAATAAGTTCTGGGCTGGTTGCAGCACTTCGGTTTCTGTTGTTGGACTTTTGGGATCGGCATCTGTTTGGCGAGCTTCAGCTGAGCTTTAGGAGCTGAAAAGGTTCTCTGCATCTTAACATTTTTGTGGACTTTTAGTCTTACGAGAACGTTTTTGCTCGACCATGAAATGATGGTTTAATTTCGATCGGGACTCAGTTTTTCCGTTGGTGCATTTGTGTCGGAACCATGAACATGTTGAGGAGAAGAAGTCAGTTTTTTGTTTTCCTGGACAATGCTCTGTCTGTGAAAGCAGAAGAGGAAGGAGAAATAGAAAGAGAGGAGGTTGCTCTGACTCCTTTTGAAGAATATCTGCAGATGCTTCTGCAGATGAAGATGACCATTTCTGTAAGTGGGCAGAGGAGGCAGATGTGGTAGAGTTAGTTCATTCACTGTAACCTTCTGATTCCTCTTTAGTTCATTTAAAGATTGTTTGCCAAAGTTTTAGACTAAGATCATCTTATTAAGAGAAATGACAAATTTGATTTGATTTGATTTATTGATTCAACAGGAAAAGATTACTAAAAATCAAGCCTTACTCAGCATAATTGCTGTTTTACAGCAGGTTCCTGTTCTGCAGCACATAAAACACTAGAATTACAGCATCACAATCACATCATTATTATTACACCGTAAACACAAAGACAAACAAGCATACCAAATTTCAAAAAGGCAGCATTTGCAAAATAGGACGTCTAAATATGAGCACAACAAAAAGTGTCCAGCAGATGGCAGACAAGATTCTTCTTAAAGGGCTGTAGTTTTGAAATGGACTTTATGTTTTGAGGAATGTCATTCCATGCTTTAGTATAAACATAGAAGAAAGACCTCTGGCCGTAACAGTTTTTAAAAGTTGGTAATATCAGTTGACATTTTGTAACAGATCTAGTTGAATGACCACTTCCAGAATTTGATTTGGGCAACAATGCACGGAGAGTTCCATAAGTGGCACCTTGGAAGATCTGAAAATATAAATTAATACCACTATACAAAACATAATTCTGAAAAGTCAAGGCATCAGACCATGAAAGAACTGTACAGTGATGAGTCCAACCAGGAAGTTTTTTTTATGAATTTGTAGCTGATCTTATCAAATGTGCAATCTCATAATCATCACTCAGTTTTATGAATTACTTTCAGTTTATCTTGATTATTTTAGTTCATTATCTCCAGAATTGACCGAGTTGCTATGTTGATTAGCTGTGGCAGCCGTCATGAATTGGATTGAGTCTATAAGTGAATCAGTTTCTTAAATTTGAACATTTGGTAGAGTTCAAAATTGCCCAAATTATGTTTAAGGCTTCAAATAAATTATTACCTCAGCCCATACAGAAATTGTTTCTTGAGATTGAAAGGACATATAATTTAAGGGGTTATCCAAATTTAAGGATTCGTAGGATACGTACAAGAAGAAAGAGCTTTTGTATTTCAATTCATGGGGTCAAATTATGGAACACACTAAAAGAGGACTTAAAAACTAACTGTGGACTTTAAAAAGTCAAAGTTTAAAACAATTTAAAAGAAAATATAAGGAGGCTATTTTTAAGACAAAAATATGAATGGGTGAGTGGGTGTATAAATGTGTATATGCCAATTGATAAGTGTACATGATTGTATGTGTACAGAATATATATGTACTTACTATAAATATATGTGTGTAATGAGTTTATGCCAAAAAAGGCAACTATGAAATCAAAATAATTAATGTCAATGTTTGCTCAGGTGCATTAGATTTATGTGATAATGGATTCTTTAATGTGTAGTTATAAGGAGTGATTGCATTACAAAGTGTTGTACAAGGGTAAATATAAATTTACATTGTGATTTAACCATTTACGAAGTCAGCCTGAGGTGTATTATTACATTTATTTGAAAATAGTACAGGGTTGGAGTTTATAAGTTTTTTTTTACTTCTTCCTACTCCATTTCGAACATGTTAAGATTATTATTGCTATAAAAATATGTGTATTTGCAGATTTAATTTTTATTTCCTGGAAGTTTCATTAAAACTTGTGCAGTGATTTATAAGATATTTTGCTAAAAGATAGACAGATCTAACCTCTGCACAATCTGTTGCAGTGCTTCCCAACCTATTTTCCTCAAAGCCCCTCTTTCTCACGTCCATGCGAAGGTGAGCACCCCCTCATCCCTTGCTACTCCACACCTCTCCCAAAGACGTGTTCAACCTACTATATCTCTTTATCAAAATAATAATAAAAAATGTTAATAGTTACAAACTTTTATTTAGGAAAGAAAAAAAGAACCAAGTTATACAGATTTTTAAATATTCAAATAAACTTGTTTTGGTGATTTTTTAGGCAAACAAAAAAGAAGTCTTCACAACCTGACCAGGTTGTGGACCACCTTGTGCAAATTTGGCGCCCCCCGCAGGTTGGGATCCACTTACAGCAATGTTGCATTGCGTGAATTACACATGTTCATCCTATGTTTACTCTTTAGCAGGTTATATCAGAATTCTTCCAGTTGTTCCTACATGTTTCACTAACAGACGCACACACACATGGGGAAAACCTTGTTTTTCCTTCACCGTACGGTGGCGGGTGATAAAAAGTCAACAACAGACAACAGGAAGGTGTTTTTATCGAAGGAAGCAGCTCTGCAGACAAGAAGTCTGTCACTCCTGCTGAAAAGCAAAGGTGGCGTGTTGAAATGATGGCTGTGGCGGCAGAGACAGGAAACACGGTGTGCACCGCCAGGTTCTGAACGGGTGCAGCATAAACTCCTAAATCTTCAGAGTGACTGAGGTGATGGATCTATAAATATCTTCATGGCATGCAGACAAGAGTCTTCACACACAAGGTCACCCCCTGCTCCAAGCAGCTGTTCACATCTAAAACAGCATGTGTGTGTGTTACTGTGTGTTGCTCATTCAGAAAGATGTTTTCATTATCCAACCACCCTCCATCGAATGGTAGAAGTGGAGCGATGACGTGTGATGAACGCAACAAATTTTTATGAAACTTGCAGAAAGTATTTATCTTTTGGAGTCAACGTGATTCAAGATGGCCGCCACACCTAATCCACAGTATGCGACACAAAAATGAGTATAACTCAAGTTTACAGATTGAGCTAAAATCTGATGAAGTGGTAACTGAGGGTCATTCAAAACACACTCTGAGTGTGAGGCATGGCAGGAATCCATGTGCCTGCACACAACCTGAACATATAAGATGGTTTTACTGGTTGTGGGTGATATTTTATACTAGTAGGGGTGGGTGTATCGATACCAGTATTGAGACTATGATAAGAAGAGTATCGGATTGATACTAGTGCGATGGAATCAATTCTTTTGTCTACACTTTATTTGTACGACTGACTGAAAAATAAAAATATTTTGGACAGTGCACTGCTGACTTTTTGTGAAAAATAGTCAGTAATGCACTAGTGAATATTTTCTTAAACACGTGTGTAGATGAAGCTAATAACTGTTAAATTGTTTATATTGTTGTTAGTCAATACAAAACATTTTATTTCCCTAAAATCTCTGTGCTGTATTTTATCATAATCGACTAACTAAAGGCAAAAATCACATAATTATTCGCTGAAAATGACAAATATCGGATCGGCATTGGCGATAATAGCTCTGTTTTTACTTGGTATTGGATTGATACTAGCCTGGTTAAAACCAGACCCTTGTCCTTCACTTTGCTTCGTACAGAGGGTCTGGACTCGAGGCTATAGAGAAGCGATTCTTGCTGGAGGCGTGGCCTCTGCTGAAGTGTCGCTGTGAAGGAGGCTAAGCTAAGTAGCTAACTGGAAATCGCGTACACTATAAACAACCCTACTGAGAAGAGAGAAGCACTGAGCCAAATGAGACGACTGTAAGAGAGCTGCTGCTTTGTCAGACAAATTTAATTTAATTTGGAAGCCTTATCAACACAGACTGGCTTCATTCTCTTCCTCCACTGCCGTATGCTAAAATAACTAGCAGACACTGCGCAGAAAATCAACGTCGTTCAAAACTCTGCCTTCTGTTTGCTGATTGGCCCAGGTAAAATAAACCGCAAGCTGACACTGCGCAGAAAATTGACGTTCTGTTCTCTGATTGGTCCGGCTAAAAATCTGCCAGTGAAATCCTCGTCTATGGGAGAAATCCCAGATGGAGCAGTGAAGGGAAACTAGAATTGAGCGGAACTACGTAGGAAGGCAAGGGACAGGCTAGATTCATACCCAAATACCTAGAATTGGCCACCCCTAAATTCTAGGCTTTCTCTCTTTATACGTAGGAAATGATTGGAGATGGTGATTTGTTGCGTCATAAGATCAATATCTTTATTCATGTAGTCCTTTAATAAAAGTTCTAAGATAAAAATACTGGAATAAAATGTAACAAAGTCAAATCAACTCTTCCGCTTCTTTTGATTTTAATAGTCCTTGCTTTAGTGAGATTATAATGGGTGAGCAGGAAGCTAACACTTCTCATGTTTTGCTAAGTTGAACTGAGCTATGTGATGGTGGTTGTCGTGGTCTTGCATCTGATTATCGGTTTCTGCGACTCCTCTCTGAGACCGGAGGTTAGACGGGCCACAGAGGCGTTGTTTCACCCCACTTTCTGGGACAAAGCCTGGTGTGTGTCTGAGTGGGGGTTTGGCATCTCCACCAAATATTTGTCCTAGCTGCTGGACGCCCACCACCATGAAACAGAGATCTGACTGGTTCTGGTACTGGACGCTCTGCCGTTAAGACGCTTTGAGGTTCTGAATAGCCCCAGAATTTAGATAATCAAGCATTTTGTGCCGCTTTGCTTCATTCAGCAAGGCAGAGCTGGTTTTCCTGGAACAATTGGGCTGTTTGTTAGTCATTTTAATTGGGACGACTCACAGCTCAGCGAGCAGATCTGCATGAATGCTGTTTCTATCTCAGGCTTCTTTTTATCACCACATTTTGACGTTTGCCAGCTAATGAGACGAAACAATGTATGTTAAACCATCAAAACTTACGGACAGGAAAAAAAAATATTTTTTTGCGAAAAAAATATTGAGAGTGAGAGTGAAACATATGTCCAACCCCAATTCTGAAATAATTGGAGTGTTGTGTATAATAACAATATAAAATAACAGAATAACTTTATAAAACAAAATGCAAATGGCAGATCTCATACATTTTATACAGAATAAAACAGGAAACACATGAAATGTTTCTATTAGGCAATTGTACATTTTTTCTTAAATATTAAGGTAATTTTAAATTTGATGGGAGCAACACGTTTCAAAAAAAATAAGAGAAAGCTCAAAAATAAGGAGTCCCTTTATGAAAAAGCTGGAGGAGAAATGTTCAAGAAGTGTTAATTAGCAACAGGCCAGCAAGAAGACGAGCATTTTAAAGTG